CCAATACCTTCATATTCATGTGAAATTTAGACAACGGATAAGGAAGACTTTCAAAGAATGGATTCCTTTTAGTTATGGTGTTGGATAAGAATATTTAAAATACCAGTGACTTCCAGAACAAACAATTCTGACTTGGAAGAAGTACAGCCAGAATGTGTCTTACAAATCAGGATGTAAAACTTGATATATCAAACTTTGGACATGTTATCAGGAGTGAATCAACCCTATAAAATGACATCACACTAGGTAAAGCAGTGAGTCAGCAAAAAATAGAATATCCACAAAGAGATGGATTGAGATAATGACAGGAGCAAAGAACTCATGTATAACCATTGTCAGGATGGCACAGGAGCAGGCAATGTTTGGTATAGGGTTACAACGCATCAGATCTGACTTGAGGTACCCAACATTTTCTAATCGTTAATTCATTTTCAATTCTTAAATTTATAGCTTTGTCATACTGACAGTTTTAAAACAAATGGATGAGCATTTAAATTGATCATTTATTTTTAAAGAGTATAAGAAGTTGGCACCTCAGAATAATGTGCTGTACCCCAAGGTCAATTTTAATGGCAATATTGGCAACTCAAATCCACCAGCTGGTCCTTGGAAATTCTATAAAGGGTAACTATGGGTTGGAACTGACTCGATGGCACTTAACAACTAAAACAACACATTATCCAACTTGAAAGAAAATGAGTAATTTAAATTTATTGAGGTTTGTTGAAGGACCACAGAAATGTAGGATTTTTAATAATTTTAAAACCATTGACAACAATGATATGTCACTACAAGCAGGTTGTCAACATGATGAATTTATAAAATTCCTGGTCCAAAGTGATGCAAACTGATAGGCCTGATATCACACATATGAGAAGACTACATTTATTTCAATGTTATTTATTAAGGAATTGACAAATATTATACTGGTATGTGGAAACAGAAAAATATAAGAGAGTATAGAATATTCATTTATGTATGTATGTATGATGTATGTAGTAACATATAGCATTTTCTGTGCTTAATTATATTCCAATTATTACTTCAGTATAAGTTCAAAAGTTTGAAAGACTTGAGTGTTTTACATCATTTTCATTAAATTTTTTGTGCATGTATCAGGTAATTTTTCTAAAAATATTTTGTAAAATAGCAGTGAAAATCCTTTGTCACAAAGGACATTGTGCATTCAAAATACTGCAGCACAACCCAATGCCAGGGAGTCTATTACAATTCATAGCAACCATTTAGGACAGATCCCCACAGAGTTTCCAAGGTTGTGAATCTAAACATGAGTAGACTACCAAATATGTCTCCTTCAGAGTGGCGGATGAGTTAACAGCTGAGTGTTCTAAATATTTCACCAGTAGTGCTTTTTTACAGCATTTACTAATACAGCATTAAAAGCTTTTGTATTTTATGTGTTCATATTTAAATTTTATTATAATTCTAGGAACCTGGATTTAATATCCATTTTTCTCAGTTAAGAAAACTGAGGCTTAAACAGTTAGCAAGATACTAAGATCAAATAGTTCAAAGGACAGCTGGCCTAGAATATAAAAGTTGAACATCTAATTTTAAAATAAGGATGTGTAACCACTGTGCCATACTTCTTCTCTTTATAATAGATAGAGTGGCTAGTGAAATTATTTTAATTGTGTCAAAACATAGATACGATCCATAACAGAAATAGAAAATAATTAAAACATTAAATTGTGTTAAGAGACAAAGACCAAAGAGTACCCAGTATGAGAAAATAAACAATAAGATTAAATATTTAACATCACTGTCATCTTAAATGCCTCGTACTCCCTGCCTTCTGCACAACTCTACAGAGAGCATTTTTCACTTCTTTGTTCCTAAGACTATAAATGAGTGGATTCAGCATGGGGATCACAATAGTATAAAAAACAGAGGCTATTTGGTCTTTCCCCAAGGAGTAGGAACTACGTGGCTTTAAATAGGTAAAAATCATGGAAGCATAGAAGATGGTGACTCCCAGGAGGTGAGAGGCACAGGTGGAGAAGGCTTTTTGCTTTCCTGATGTGGAATTGATTTTCAAGATAGTAGAAAAAATGGACACATAGGACACAAAGACTGTGATGAGAGATGCCACTAAAGTAGAACTAGCAAGAATTAATATTATGATCTCAGCATTACGTGTGTCAGTGCAGGACAGAGCTAATATTGGAAGTGTGTCACAGAAAAAGTGGTGGATTACATTGGAGTTACAGAAATGCAAGGTGTTCATGCCAAGTACAGTGATAATGGAGTCAATAAAGCCAAATACGTAAGATGCAGTGACGAGTGAGCGGCACCGTGTAGTGGACATAATAACTGGGTATTGTAGAGGTTTGCAGATAGCTACATAGCGATCATAGGCCATTGAAGAGAGAAGAAAACATTCAGTGGCAGCCAAGGAGATAAAAAAATACATCTGGGTAAAACAACCCCCATATGAAATATATTTCTTCGCAGTCAACAAGTTCTCTAAAGCTTTAGGGGTAATGACTGTTGAGTAACTGAGATCAAGTATTGACAGGTGGCTGAGGAAAAAATACATGGGGGTGTGCAGCTGTGGATCCAAGCGAATGATCAGTATCATCCCTGCATTCCCCAGCACAGTAACCAGGTATATCAGAAGAAAGAGATTAAAGAGGACCAGCCGGATCTCTTCAGAGTCTGTCAATCCCACAAGGATGAAGTCAGACACATTTGTGTGATTTCTTCTATTCATAATGTGCAACTTCTCTAAGCTGTAGGAGATTGAAGCTGACATTTAACATCACTGATTTCTTACTGGTGTATATATGAATGACCTCATGTTCGAAATGCATGTTTTTCTCTTCCCAGATATTGATACTTAAGAGTGTCTTACAAAGTATGAATGAACAAAATCTAAATGTTTTTGTTATATATAACTGTGGTTATGACACTGAATATTATATAACAAAAATTAACATATAGTATGTAATTAAGAACTAATTAGTCTCAGTGCTTCCCTTTATTTAAATCTTTAATCCCCATCAAATGTCATACCATAAATGTTACTGTTTTCTACACTTTTAGGTAATTTTAAGTAATTCAACTATAGCTAGAGCTAGTAAATGTTGGCTCAGTTATTCTACCATGTTAGGCTTAATATGAAAAGCATGCTTATAATACTATGCTCTTAATTATCATCAGTTTCAGTAGCTGGAAAATAAGTGTTGTTGTTGTTGTTGTTGTTAAGTGCCGTGGAGTCTGTTCCGACTCATAGCGACCCTGCACAGGGTTTCCGAGGCTGTAAATCTTTACGGGAGCAGAACGCCTCATCTTTCTCCCGCGGAACCGCTGGTAGTTTCGAACTGCTGACCTTACAGTTCACAGCCCGCTTCGTAACCACTACTTGTAGTATGAAATAATAAATTGTAGTTTTAAAAAAAGTGAATTGAGTGAAGGTTTACAGGGAAGATCATCAGTTTTACATTTAACAAAGCGTGTACTTTGCTTCTTCTCAATAACTGCTCTTCTCTCTGTTTGGCCATGTATAGGGTTCCAAGGAGTTGCTCATAAGCTTTAATCACTGACCTTGAGATTCAAACAGACCTTGCAATCCACCTCATTAATTCAATAGCTACATGTTAACTGGTGATAGAAAGGGCAGTCTACAAAAAGAGGTAGGCTGACAAAATAATGACCAAGACAGCAGAATACATAAGGAGGTATGCAAAAGCTAAAGGGTATATAGGTAAATAATGACGTATATACAGTGCTGGAACAACAGTGTTCTGCAGATAGATACATAAAGAGATACATCAGTTGAACTGGGTATGAGAAGAAGAATGTGAGTATACCCACAAATATATGAGTTTGAAAGACACATATGTATACATGAGTATTCATCTTTTCTACAAACACACTTATGAATGTGATAGAGCATACAGCAGACACAGTAAAGAACACATCTTTGATACTATCAAACATCTTAAGGCAATGATTTTCTGGCTCTGGGGAGTCAAGACCATAGTCTTAGGGGACACCATCATCAATTGGCATACCGTAGTCTACAAAGATAGTATTCTATATCCTTCTTTGGTAAGTAGAGTCTGATGTCTTAAAACCACATGAGTGTATTCCTAAAGTGCAACTATTAGTCTCTTTCCATGTGTGGAAGATAGAAGAGTGATGATAATTTAAGATGTTTATAATCAATTTGTCAACTGGACTAATGGAACATGTGAACATCAGTCTCCACAACTCTCAGACCAGAAAAACAATATAGTGCTCAGCTGTCACTACAAACTGCTCCTGAAAGGAACAGCATTAGAAGGTCCCACATACAGTGGCTGAAAACCTTCAGTAAAACTCAAAATTATTTACAATGATCAGGCTTACTGGTCAGAAATAGATTGGAGAAGGATAAGACTACGATTTTCAACAACCCTTTCAGTATGAAAAAGAACTTACCTTGCTCACCCAACTTTCAGCTAAGCAGTACTTAGGTATATAGGAGGGACAACAACACTAGTAAGGTATGTTCAACAATTCAAAATCAAAGGGGCAACATTATCCAAGGACAAAGTTAAGAACTGATAGAAAGGTGGATGGAATGGAAATAGGAGGTATGGGGGGAAGTGATATAACTTACATGGAAGCGATGGCAGTTATTGAGATGAAACAAAGTGTAAGATTTTTTGAATATAAAATTGAAGATCTTAGCTGTAGACCCTCACTGAATTCACAATAAATCTTATAAACCTTTTAGAAGTAGAGGGCATTATGAAGGACACACAATTATTACATAAAATCCTGTAACTAGAGTATATACTCTGTGCAGTATTTTCAAGGAATAACAAACCAGATACCAAGTGATTCACATTTAGCTTGCAACTATTTCAAAGATTTTTATAAAACTCTTTGGTATCTTTTAACAAACTAAATGTTCAGGAAGTCATGTATTAAAAAATTGGAACCAAAATAAAAGTATAATAAACTTTAGAAGAAGGTCGACTTGAACCACAAGATTGACAGTTTAAACCCACCAGCTACTACTCTGAAACCCTATACAGGTTCTCTATGAGTCAGAACTGACTGGACAGGCACTTAATAACGTCAACAACTATAGCTCTCCAATAAGGAAAACCTCAACTTCTTACCACTTTCCACTTCTACTTGTTATTAAGGATAGGAAAGATATAAATGGAATGAAAAGCTCAACATCCTAAAATATTCCTGTATCCTTGGAGATTTTTTTCTTTGAGGGATTCTTTCAAATTGTACCTCAGGTGTTTTACAAATTAATATGGTAACTTCCTAAAATACTAACTCAAAAACCATTGGTGTTTTCTCCATGAAAATATAATCTTTAAACCTATAAACTGACATCAGAAAATAAATATAAAATAATACATTAAAAAGCTAAACTGATATTAAAAACTGCAAAACAGACTTATCACTGAGACTATATAGTCCTTGCTTTAGTTTTCAGTCCACTATGAACAATTATCTGCTGCATGTAAACATGTATAAATAATTATAGATTAAAATACATTGATCATATATATATCTATAAAAATAGTATCTTTTTTAAAAAAGCAAGACAATAGTAAATTATTACATTGTTTCCAATTTTATGAAAATGGAACAAATTTAGGGTTTCAATTCATCATCTACTGTCTGTTTTTTCCAGTATTTATAATATTACTGACCATTTATAAGATCAAGCATTGGTGACTTTACTGAGATGAATTTAAAATATAGATCATAGAACATTTATTTGAAGAAGACATTTTGATTTCTTAACTTCACTATTCAAAATCAAAGTCCATCAGAATGTTACAAGTCCAAAGTATGAATATTGCTTGTATATTACTGAATTCATCAGTTCTCTCTCTCTCTCTCTCTCT